GGTCTAGTCTGGCACTGGGGAGTTTGTTGGTTGCGTCCTTCACATCTGAGTCTTCTGCAACTTTGCTGCAAGTCATGCGATCACCACAGGCGGAATGCTTCTAATAGGGGAGCTGCAGGCAGAGGCGAGATCGAGACCCAATTTTTTTTTTTTTGGGGGGGGGTTATTGTATGTAATCTTATATGACCTTTCGACGGTTAAAGACACCATTTTAGTGACACTGCAAACCGCTTTTCTCTTTTTGATAAAAGGAGATGGGGGAGGGGGTTATTTTGTGGGAGCCATAGCCCACGTTGCCCCCCTTGATCCACCACTGGCAGTGGGATTTCACAAAAATTGCCCTCTTTTACTCCTCAGCTATGGTCTGATTGGCTTTGATAACGAGAATACGTTTAACCACAAGAGGGCGTCTTGCTAGTCATGGTTCGTGCACTATTTAAGTGTTTCTTAAAAGTTGGTCATTATGAGATCCATTTTTAGTGACTTTTCTCTGATAGCATACCCCTATTTTAAGTTTTAAACTCCTTTAAAATATTTGCAGTTGTGTTCCATGGAGAAATCTTAGACTCTGAGAAGTAAAGTTACCGTTTTTATTCCTTGACCCAGTTTGTAATTGCGAAGAAGTCGACATGACATCATCGTCTTCCGTAGAGCGAGGCGTGAGAACAAAGCCATCTCTCTGTGTCGTTGTGGTTTACCCGCTGCGTGCGTCCTCTCCGTCGATTACGTCAAATAACCTACTCGTCATCACCTTCACTTTCCCAGTTTTCACAGTGACGTCACGCCGGAACATCAACACAACGCCTGAGGTCTGAGCCTATACCAGATGATATTAGTGAACCGTGTGGAAGTCCCCGCCTGGCAACGCGTTGCCATGGCACCCTGCATCAACACGATCAAGCCTCGGCTGTTTGCCATCATTTCGCAAGCCATCACTGGATCGCGTGCCTGCGCGGTTGCCACTGCGACTTAACACTGCAAACCAGTCACTTCCGTTCTGTGTTAGAGACCGACCTGACGGTGAGTTCTGCCGACAGGGACCAGGGATGTTGCAGTACAGATCTGGTGAAATTGTTTTACTCCAGCCATAGATTAATCCCTGTATTATGTTCCTAATGGGTCTCGTGTGAGTGTGAAGTGATGACATCACCGCTGACTGGGAGGGGCCCTGTGTGAATAATTGGTTGGCGATCATGATTGGTGAGCGCTGTTGTTTTGTCAACAAATGTGCGTGATGAAAGATGTGTTAATATTCTGCAGCAATGTCATCGCAAACCGTGTTCGTCTGATCACAAGCAGTGTTCGATTACGTTGTTCGAAGAGTCAAGGGTTCGTTCGGCACCAGCGCTAGAACAGCGATCGTAAAGGCAACGCTTCGATCCGCAAAGATGATAGTGTCTTGAGGCTCTTGTCACAACCCCCACCATCTAGTGACTACCTTCGCTACACCACTCAAGCCACGATTTCATTTGAAAAATAAAAAATAAAATCAAGAAATATCTTGGAACAATTCTCATGTTCAGCAAAAATTCGAGAAATATCCAAGAACAGCGAAAAAGCACTTGGTCTTGCATTTAGTCTAAATAAAGCAGATAAAAGCCCCACAATCGGACTATGATGGTGTTTGAAAGTGCAATGGAGCGTCTTGATAGGATAGAGCCTTCTGAAAATGTTGAAATTTATTGGAAAAGAAACCTTACAAAACCAGAGAAAGCCCATCGATTCTATCTGTCTGATACTTTCCATGTTGTTCGTTTCTATATTTTGCCATGTGATAATATACTAAGAGGCAGGATATGAAACATACTAAGCTTTTTCTTGTGCTCACGATCGGAGCAGACAAGCATTATTACCAGTCATTGGCACTAAGTAGGATTGATCGGGTCTTTTGGATAGGATGTGCCTCGGGTTGATGCCTCAGGTTGCATTGCTGCATATGTGGGATGGGATCCCTGTACCTCTGAGTCACCACATACATTGAAACAAATTTAAACATAGTGATGATATATTATGTATTTTCTCTTGTGTGGGCATTGGTTGCCATCTCGGCCTTACGATGTGAGCTTCGATCGATCGTTTTTCCTTGTAAATCTGTTCTTACTGCCTTTTTGTAGTTCGTTTCAATGGCATAGGTATAAGGGACGATACATGATACACATGCGTCAAATGTCACGTTGCCCCTCGGAAATTGGGTTATGGGTATCAACGATTCCTGTGGGATATTTACCAGAATATTGCAAGTCATGCTCTGGAGAGGCATTCACAATGAACTTCAAGCACGGAGATAACTTCCTACACTCACTCACGCATGACATACAAACTCCCCACGTCGCGTCGGATATCCACGGGAGACTGCGGTTGCCGCTCGCCTGACAAGCGTTATCACCGCGTGTCGATGTATCATGATCGATCCTCGAAAGCGAAGATTGATCGCTTCCAAATTCGAATCCGGCATCTAATTACTACCTGGTGCATTCAAGAAGTTTTTTTTTTTTTTACAAAGATTGTCTGAAGGGTGGGTCCAGGGGACCTTTTTTAAATAATGGTATATGCCCACTTCTCTTTCTCCAAGAAATGTGTAGAAAGGTCCAACCTTTAATACCATTCAGAAAGGCCATAAAAAGTGAAATAGAAAACTTCCCATTTTCTGTCGCCTCCCTCCTCTTAGCAACCCAAGCTTGTTTCCCTCTCCCGAAAAACCTGTTCTAGAATCCGCTGTTGGGTAGACCAGAATCGTATTATAAGCAAATTTGAACCGACTTGTTATGAAGATAGGCGCGGTCATGTTCGTCTTTTGAAACTCCTCTCTTGATTGGGTCACACCCAAGCTAATCCATTAAGCCATTTAGCCTCCACTGAGTCAAGGACGAGTCATTGTGGTGACAGCAGCCAAGATGTGTTACTGCGATGGTTTCAAGGTCTGTCGCCAGGTAGCATGACTGGCCAGATGTCTCCTCAACTGTAGCCGAGGTAGATTACAGAATGGCGACATGACAAGAAGAGAAATCAACTGATGACCCGAATCAGTACACGACACGAATATCACAACTACACGATGGTTGCGTGCCCAGAAAACCTGCATAATTTAGCAACTTCTTTTTTGGGGGGGGGGGTCTTAATCATACTGCCGCAGAATTGTAGCAGCCAGTTGGAAACAAGCCCTCATCCTAAGGCGGTCTGAGAATCCGGGACTACTATTAAATTATCTGCAAGGACTAAAAAGAACAGGAGATTTCGACACAGATTAAGTTGATGAAGTAACTCTCGGTCATTAAGCAGGGGGTCTCAAAATTATGATGCCACGGACTTCATTTTTTTGGGGGGGTGGTTGTGCAGGCAAAAGCTGCAAGTCCTCATGCAGTAGAATGGAAAGCAACACGGGCATTGAAATGAACTCGGGCAACTAAAAGTAAAACTTGTCACTGTGACTTTTTTTCCGAAATGACCTCTGTCACAGTTAATACCAAGTCAGCGAGTGTCTCGGGGCATGGCCGACAGCGGCGTAGGAAACCATCCGTCGTCTGCACCACATTTCACTGCAGGATGTTGAACGTCTTCTAAGGTGGTATTAGCTGAAGGAAGTTATGCATTCTCACCCAAACCGCCACGTGCGCTCATTTCGAAAATAGTCTGGTTTTAATCGCCGATCTCCATTATCATCAGCGTATGGCAGAATTAAATGGCGTCATTTCTATTTCTGGCGGTCTCATAGACTTGATTTCAAGTTGTGGTAAAGTGTACCGACTGTCACCTACTGACCACACATTCTGTAGGACCAAAATATGAGGCAATTCGGGCAGAGTCTGTGAGAAGATAACCCGTGTGTCTGGGTTTGGCTTGAGGGTGAGGCGATTTGGTTCAAAGAGGATGTTGGGTTTATTGTGGTTCATTGCAAAAGTCTGTGTCGAGTGGTTGCCCCTTTAGCGGGGAAAGGATGTAGGCCTATATATTGTGTTCATCATCGCCGGAAATAGAGCCTGTGCATGGAATGCACAGCCATTTTTCCGGTAACTCCTACAGCACAAAAGCTAGCATGCATGCAACTGGGCCGTCAGACCACGAGATGAACGAAATAAAACCAAACTACAAATACATGTACTAGTAATGTCACGACTACTATAACGGGTCTACTCATGATATTTATCCCTGTTGAACAAAAGCCATGCACAACCGTTCAAGGGTCATTTCTTTACGTACATGTAAGTACTTGATCCTTTATAGGTAAGCATTCCCCCAATCTGTTTGTTAACTATAAGAAATGTTAAATTAAATTTATCGTCAAATAAAAGTTAAATAAATGAGGGCGCTCTTGTTCTGTGCAGCGGCGCCGTTGGTTGATTATCACGCTGTGGAGAAACTCGTTCCGTTGCTCGCGTGTATTTTTGGAGGATTTGGTCGAATTTTCTTGAAAAAAAAATTCTGGTGAAGGGTAAACAAAAAGTAGACGTATAATGCCAAAGTCACGGCATGCTCCCCTGTCAAATGATGTTTGTGTCATTTAAATAAAATTTAATACCCAATTTCCTTTTGACATCTTTACGTGCAACTTGGCTAAAGTGAAAAGATTGATAACCGTTTGCATGCCTGAACGGCGACATTACCATCGATTTTATTACTATCACGCATCCATTAAAACAAGGAAGTGTTGGTTGTGGTGTTTATTAATCTGACAAATACCATAAACTTTCCTGAGGCAAAAATCGGAAGTTGCAATTTAAGGAGTTCGGTTTGTGACCCGCCGATTTTAGTACCCAAGAAATAATAAGCCGAGGACCTGTTCTGTGGCTTACGGTATAGTTTGAGCAAAACTTCGTATTAATGTCAACTGAAACTTTTGGGGAGATTAATTATTGTGTGTTGGTGATAAGTTACTCTCCAAAATGGAAATTAATGACCCTGGCTTGTCCCCGACACGACGACCGTCATCATAAAGTAGTGAGCATTTTATCAGACACTATTGTTGTAAAGTGTAATAGCGCCCTCTTTCGACAGAGCTTAAACATTACAAAATCAACATGGCAGCGTCCACGAAAAGTTTGGGAAACCTAGCCGCTGAATCTACAGTATTTTTCTTGTGCGATATGCAGGAAAAATTCAAACCTGCTATTCAGTACTTCTCAGATATAGTTGAAGTTTCAAAGAGGCTGGTAAGATTATAATTGGCGAATAATTCAACAAATAGGCCTACTGGTCAGGCCCAACGCACGCGTCGTGTTTGACTTTGTGCTACCCGCGTTAGCTAGCGCAGCAGACGTCGAATCCCACAGTCATGACAGGGGGTCCGGACAACTCGACCGTTTGCCAAATCGACTTCAGACAACTGGACCGTCAAGACAACTCGACCGTCCCTGCGTAAAAGGGAGAGACAGGTCGACCGTTGAGACAAGTCGTCCGCTCAGCCCCGTCGTCTGCTGAGGCCACGGTGTAAAATACTTTACATGTAGGGGACCTATGCCTTAATGATGGGATGGAATTTCATGTACTACTAGTACTAGTAGATAGACAAGCCTAATTTTTGAGCTATTTATAAAAATGGTGGCTGTAGTAAGTCAATCATTGTGCAATCAATCGAGCTTGCACCCACATAGCCCCACTAGTGTGGCACGGACTCTCACTCCCGATCCATTCCGTGCCACACTAGTGGGGCTAGCACCCACACTGCACGTATGTGGCCCGGAGGCCTAGTTGTTTTCCTAGTTCCGGAGTGCTTGAAATAAAAACCTACCTCCTCGGTGTTTTCTTTCAGTTCTGCGTTCTCAGACAGGTTCTGGTTAAAAAGTGAGATGTAAACTTCTTGCAGAACAAAACGTGCTCTCGAAAAATTTCTATAAAAGAAATTTTGGCCAGAAGTCTGATTCGCACTGTGACATTTTGGAATGGTAGCGGGAAAAAAATGATGCATTGTTATGGGGTCATACATGTCACTCACTACGAGTGATCCTAAATACTTTAACTAAATACAAACTTTTGCATCTATTGTCTGTTTAATCAAAATGACTTTCAAAGTCGGGTTTTATTAAAACCGGTCGAAAACTAACGCATATTGTTTTGTAGTTTTGGATCACGCATTAAGTGCATGCACGCAATATACTTTGTGAACTCATCTCACTATACGGATGTTGCAGAAATGCATGTGACGTACGTCAACTGTGCGGTACAAGGCACATGTATTGTTGATGGCTCGTGCTGTGCAGCTGAAAAAGTTGAGTCGAAATTTACACAAGATCAAATTTTTTTTATTTCATTGGAATTCTTATTTATGAACCAAGTTTTTCTAAACTGAGAAATTTTTCATTAGAAAATAAGCTTTTTACAATGGTTCTGTCCGAAAATGGATTTGCCGCTCGCATGGTTACTTTCCAGAAACCGATCCAAAACGAGAAAAAAGTCACCATTTTCGTCGATTCTGTACGTCCGAATTAAAAGTTTAAATTTGAAACTGATTAGGTGGTATTTCTATCACACAAGGTGGAGTTTAAAGATTTTTGTAGTGCTGCAATCTTATCGAATAATTTCGCGATTTTAAACAGGGAAAATGACTGTATTATGTGAAAAGATCTCACTGGTCAAGTTGTCTCTCTGTCAAAGTCGAGTTGGCCTAATGGACAATTTGGCAAACGTTCGAGTTGTCTCAACAGTTGAGTTGCCCGAAGTCGAGTTGGCAAACAGTGGAGTTGTCCGACATCCCATGACAGTTCTGGAGGTAGGGGGACAGGTTTCCAGGAAGGGGCCTCTTCCCATGTCACTTAAAAACTGCAAAAAGTTTTTCCCTTGTACCTTGTTTTTTCTAATCATAGTGGCCTCCAAATTTATCTCAACTTTTTCAAAAGACAGCGCGTTCAACTTCAAATGATTTCCAGGTCTGTCATGTCTGTAGCACATGATTAGTCTGTAAACAAATACAGCGTACATGTACTCCTGTGAAAGTGGCCAAGGAGTATGAAATTTATGGTATAAATTTATAGTATGGAGGAGTACTCCCTCCATATACAAAACCCCCAAATCATCGAGAATCATCTGCAAAAATCTTGTGATCACACAAAAAACCCTAGTCTTTGGAGTTACGGATCCATCAATTTCATGCATATACGTATGGTCAATTAATCTAAAGACTGAACAAGTGCACCATGGAAGCAAACTTCATATGTACAGTGCAGATACTGTATATATAGTTGCAATCATAACTGTGTCTTCTTTTTCTGGGGGAAAAGGATTTGATGACTTTATGGTATCATTTTGGGAGGTTGCAACCTTAAACAATATGTTCAGAATGATAAACATGTTGGAAACCACAGCAAGTGGCATCATGAAACCAAGCTCAAAATGCATGCACAACTAAAGATGCATCATTTATCCCTCAATGCTATGTGTTTCCTCAGGCATAGGCCTCTCTGGGTAACTTTGAGAATGTGCACAACTGTACCTAACTTGGTTTTCAGTGATAAAGTTGCCAGAGGTTGTGGATGACATTTTATTTAATCAACGGAAGATTTGCCTGACCACCAATTTTTGTCCAAATGCCTTTTTGTTGTTTATCTCTTAGGCTTGTGGAAATTGTGACAATTTTAAAAAATGGGTTATATAAAAACCTCACATGGGGATACTTCATTCCTCTGTGGACAGATTGTAAACTGCTATTGGTACATAGTCAGTAGTAACTGTTGTCTCTTTACAGACGGCGACTTCAAAGATTCTAGAGATTCCTCTTATTGTTACAGAGCAGGTGAGCTTTGTGCTGGTTGCTTCACTGCTACTAGTCTTAAGCCATAAGGATCTCTTAATAGGAGAGACCAGCATGCATTTCTCTTGTCTCTCGATATCACTCCAAATGCATTAGAAATATTCTTAATATTGTAGAGATATTGATTTCAGATCACACAAAGGACTATCTCGGATAGGTCTTTAGCTGTTGAAAAGTAAACAGGAAAATTCCGTCCAGTCAACATAGTTTTTCCTCTACCTATACCTTTGCTCACTATGAAGACAGAGTCACAAGCTTCCAAAGTGGAAACTGACAGTCCAAAAACACTCCGAAGCTGCTCAGTTAAAGTCACGCATACAGTGTTAGAATCACCTAATCCTCCTTCTGTTTTAACCATCAAAAACAGTCAAAAATGCCTCCCAATTGATTTCCCCCAGTACACAGACACATATGGGAAATTTGACTGATTTTGACTGATATGACAACTGTGTCAAGAATGCATCTTAGCATAGGAGGGTTAACTTAATGTTCTTACAGCCTTGAACCTTACAAAATCACTGTTTCTTCCCTGTGAAATAACAGTATCCCAAAGGCCTTGGAAGCACTGTGTCAGATCTGGACATTACTCACGCAGTGGGAGTGTTCCCAAAGACCAAGTTCTCTATGGTCTTACCTCCTGTGGAAGAGGAACTGCAGAAGCGACCAAACGTGAAATCAGTCGTTCTCTTTGGGATTGAGGTCAGAAAAGGTTAAACTACAAAGATTACAATTATTCGCACAATTCATTCATGATCTCTTGAAACCTTATCCTTCCAGATTCCACTAATATTTAATCGGTTTCTTGAACAATTTAGGCTTCAAAAGTTGTACCCTATTCTCCTCATGGTAGCATTTTTATAATTACTGCTGGTTGGAAAAAATTATTGAATACCTTAAACAGGCAATATATCATTTATATGCACTAACTCCCAACATGTCTCCTGGATAACATTGAACTGAATCAAATTCATTTTCATCTCTAAAGAATTACATATCAATCAGAAGTTAAATTTAGAGTCAACCATTTGTTCTTTAAACCTGCTGGTCATATGCATCTCAGAAATCCTCTGCATTGGAAGACGGTGTTGTAACTGAGTTCATCACAAGTCCCTGCAAATCCAACACAAGTCATCCTGTCCTACCAAAGTCTCAGGGTACTTGAATGAACTGTGATTGACGCATTTCCCTTGTTACCGATCCCCCTCCGAGCTCGGACAGGTGTTGTGAAAGGACTTATGATGGGCTCAACTACTTTGTTGGACGATAAGTTTAGAAAAGCTGGATTCATATTTTCCAGGCTCATGTGTGTGTTCAGCAAACTGCCCTTGATCTGCTAGCCAAGGGGTTGGATGTTCACGTAGTTGCTGATGCCTGCTCGTCAAGGAGTATGATGGATCGACAGTTTGCGTATGAGGTAAACAGAGGTGACAACATTGTGTGATATGAGGCTGAAAAGTGGTCAGACAAAAATTCACATGTGCTGTCAATTTCATTCTGCCCTATTGGTTTTTGATCAGGTACCAGGGTCACGAGAACACACTTGGGGAACTTAAATGTCACAAGCACAAAGGCCATATTAAAAACACACGCACAGGATTTTGTTTTTCTGGCTTCTTTCCTTCGGTCATTTTGTCTGAGCACACCTGCCTTTTGGCAAATACCAAAAGTGGTCAGAGAATAGCCAATGTCGGACCATACTTTCATGTTCTGTAATAACATCCGAGCCAAAATGGTTCTATTTCTGGGTATTGTTTGCAACATTTCTGTGGGTTTTGTCATACTGGGTCATTTTTGGCGACCTGTTTCTGCAGAACATTTTGTCCTAATTCAAATCGGGATTTTACCCATTGTTTCTTCCGGCAAACATTGTCCACATCTGAAGCAGGTGATGTTGTCTACAGCTATGGCTTTTAATTGCACTGGGCCAGTGACAAATTCTAAGCCAAAGCAAGTAGACACCTGATTCAGACAGCCTCACATCAGCTTTGGAATCTTTTAGGAGTGAACCTCCTTACTTTTTGATCATGGGTCACAAACCCCAACCATGAGGTGACACTCCCGTAGATGGCACCCTGCAGATTTCTATTTCGAATCCTATTCTCCTCCAATCAATATCTTTTCTCAATCTTAATGTGAAGTCTTCAATAAGCCAGTTCGGTATTTTAAAAAGCAAGGTCTTTTGGCAACGAAGCACATGAAGTAAGTCAGTGCATGACTGTGTTGATAGGGCAGACTATCGTGCGAGTGTGCTGCTTCCCAAAAGCCTCAGATGCACTTCAGTTGGAATACCAAACTAGCTTGCTGCTGTGAAACAGTGGCATTACAATTTGCACTTTGCAAAGCCTTAAACAAACTCATTATTGTTTGCAGAGACTGCGGCAGGCCGGAGTCATAGTTACCACCAGTGAAGCCGTCATATTCCAGTTACTAGGCGAGTCCAAACATCCGAAGTTCAAAGAGGTTCAAGCCCTGGTCAAGGCTGTAGCACCTGTCTCAGGGCTTACTCCAAATTTATAAAAAAATCACTCTTATTCATAGAAAATAATGCAGGCCATTGGGCAGATTTCCTGGTGGATGTTGAAGGACCTAGGATGGTTGGGTCATGTGTTTCAAGTTTTATTCATGTTTGATTTGTAGGATGGGGTTACATTTTAGCATTTTATCCCCTCCTAACAGATTTTGTTATACTTTCAGCAACTTATTTCTCATACATATATTCATTCTTGCTAAATTGTTATACCCTGCACAAGGACACAAATATCTCCCGTCTCCATTATCTGTGATCAGTTTACACCCCTGTAAGTTGCCTGCTGTTGTCGTAAATCACGTTAAAAACTTTTTGAAAAACATTTTGATCCCAATTTTGTTCTACAAAACCTTTGCTCTGTCTGTATCACGGCTTGTTTTGGACAGAAATCATCAAGTCCACACTCAGATTTATAATCATATTTTATTTAATCCAATACTGAATATTCAGAGAAAATTTCCATTTTTTTTTACAAAATTATACTTCAGCTTTGCAGCAATGTGTGGAATATCAAAAGAAATGAGGTTGAACAACTGTGGAAGAGTGTATAAAAAGAATTGTTCCGCACCAAATCAAGAAAACTTAAAGCAACAAGTCATATTTGACACCATTTTTAAAAACAAATGAGGTTGAACAACTGTGGAAGAGCATATAAAAGGAATTTTTCCTCACCAAATCAAGAAAATTAAAAGCACCAAGTTATATTTGACACCATGTTTAAAAACAAATGGTTACATGAATATGATTATTGTCAAACTGATGTTATTGGTATTGTTTATAAAAACAGTCCGATAATCCTGATCCAGTTCTTATCTCGTATTAATATTCAGCTCTTCAAGGACTGGCGAACCTATTACATGACACACAGTGAATTTCAACTACTGTTACATGTACATCTTGTAACTGTTAAAATTTTGCACTAGGGTAAGACTTGCCTTGTGCTAGTGAAGACTGTGTTAATAAACAATTGTAGTTTAGTTTAAGCCTACATATTTACATATCTGGCTGTCCGTGTCACTGTAATTCCGAGTTCTATCACAGCAAGTGATATCTTGTGCAAATCTGTTGTTTGCAAGTTCTGCTTGGTGAAGGAATGAACAGGTGCATGTATTGTGGCTAGCATTTTCACAAACTGGATATTGTTTTCTTCTCTCCTAAGAACGGATCTTGCATGAGACACAAGTACACATGCATAAAGAAGCCAAGTGCCTCACACAAGCTGTGAAAAAGGTGTCCATCTTGATACAAAAGTGCATAATTTTGAGTGAATATACATTCAAAACATCACCAATATTTTCGTCAAGGCACATACTGCAGTCTCCTTTTTTAAAACCCTAATCATGCTAAATTAACAAACTCCATCAATTGGAACCTTGTAAACTTGACTTGTTCCAGCTCTTATAATCTACCCAATTCAGTAGGTGAAGAAGTTTACGGTAGCACCCTGCAAGGATATCTCTTTCAGAGTATCAGTGGTTCTGAAAAGAACGGAGGGTACTCAACAGTTTGGATGGTATGCCCTGTGCATTATCAGGAAACCGTAGTTTAGACATTTTATTACTGTAAGAGTCTTTAAACTCGGCAAGGTGAAGAGAGGGTAATCCCAAAACTGGGGGAAGTCAAGTTTAAGGAGACACTCAGTATTTCATCTAATTTCTTGAGGTATACATGTATGTACCCTTTAAGGAAATTAACACACAGTAACAAAGAATCCGCAATTCACATGACTCTTTTCCTTTGAAGACTATTGGGGGGGACAAAAAAAGGAAAACAATTATGTAATATACTTTATGCAATATGTAATAAAAACAGACGGTCTTCTTACTGCCTATTGAGCCTTTGTCCAACAAAATCAATTCAAGTCAAGCTGATAAATTAGTAGTCTGTTTCCAGATGATGTAATTCAGAGCCAGCTTCTCCTAGGCAGACAATTGATGTAATTCAGAGCCGGCTTCTCCTGGGCAGACAATGCTACAATTATTACTATCACACCTTACTTTTTATCTGCTTTACTTTGCATAGAAGCTTGCACATGTACACATATGTACCCACCATATCATTCATTCTGTGATTACAAAAATCACGCCAGTCAACATTTTAGCAAGTTTGGTATTTCAACTGTACACATCTAGGATGCGGGCCATGTTCTTGGAGCTCATCTGCTGTGCGCCCTCAAGTGAAAATTGCCAAAATGGCAGATTCACAAGCTCAGGCCTACAATGGGAATGTGGTTAGAATACCAAACTGACTTACTCCAATTCATCACTTTACAAGTTTCTTATAATTATTTCATGGCATACATGTACCAATCCTTATCATGGGTTTAACACCTGGGTAATTCCAGAAAAAAGGGGCTCACTTTATTTTCGTGTCCCTGTCACATCTGGCATATGATTTTGTAAGTTCAGAACACATTTTAAAATTTCCATCACTGATGAATTAATGCAAATTACCTGCTAAACAAATAGCAATAGTTTGAAATCAATTCCGGTCATACCATGTCAAATATCAAAGGTCAGATGTGACGGACACAAAAATGTCACACTTTTGGACCCCTAATTTCTGGAATTACCCACCTACACGTATAACAAATTTCTATTTACAAGTTTATTAAAATAAACACAGCCCATGTCAATGTTTGCACAAAGGCACACAAGCCATACTTTATCAGTCATCTCTAACATGGCACTTTCCTTCTTCAGTAGTGTATAAATATAAATATTTTACGAATTCCAAAATAATTTTTCTTTATTTTTAATCCTAAAAACTCACAAAATGTACACGTTAGCTTGAGGCACAAAGTGTGTTAAATTTGCTTTTCATTAAATAAAAAAAACCCAGTCAAGACTGTCAATAGTTCCAATAAAACCTTGCAAAAAACAAACAAAATCATCCAAAATACTGTACAAACAAATCAACAAACAAAAACCCCTAATACATAATTTATCAATCTGTAATCTCTTAAACTCAATCACATATAATGCCAATGCTCCATTAAATATATACATGTGTATATTTGCTTTGAAACACTGAATTAAATTCTTATCCACCAGAAGTATATTCAAGGGAAGACTAAGTCACACATGTACATGTCCATCTTTCCTGACACTTTGTTAATAAACAAGGCACACTTTTTAAACATTACTATCAAGGGTTCCTTGATATACAATGTAGTTACACGTACCGTATGTTTTCAACATGCTACATTTGAAATAAAAAATCTTCAGAATCAAGGATAAATTTCAGAAAAGATTTAAGGCACAAACACGGAAAAACGCTGATGAACATCTAGCACCATTCCAAAAATATAAAAATTATTTATCTTTACCTACTGTACTCCCTACTTGTCTCTAAGATCACTGCAGAAAATCTTCTTAAAAGCTTAAAACTGCTGTATCCATTTTTTTTTTCAATTCTAGCCTAGATTTAACCACATGTGATTCTTGAGAGTTTTCAAAACAATTGTGATTTTACTTGGTCTGCCCTTTGCAAACATAATTTGTTAAGCCTTGTGTGTTTATGATTTCCAGTGGGACTCGAACCCATGACCACCAGGGCCTAATTTCACAGCGCTACTCACCGTCAAGCAAATTCCTTTGTTAACAATAACACAAAAATTTGCTTGACAGTATGTGCATTTCACAGTAGCTGTGCTTAACACAAAAAAATGGGCACGCATGAATATTTCCATTGTTACATGTACGTCATTAAGTTCAGCAAATACATCCTTCACAGTAAGTGTGTCCTACTGCTCACAGTCTCCATGAAATATGCGGAGCCCCTGCTAGGTTAGAATCATGAAATTGGGCCCTGCTTACAAGTACAGAGGACTTCACTAGTTGAGCATGGAGTTGTTGGGGTTGGCTGGCACTACGCAAAATCGTAGTCAATAAATTATGTTGATAAAGAACAAACCAAATATTTTCAACTTCACATCACCCGTTGCAAAATTTCCATCAAACATTACACCAGTGTCTGCTCATATACTGCATGATTGAAAATGTTCTCAACACAAGCATTGTTTTGGTCACAGCAATAAGTTCCCATCAAATCCACACTGCATTGATAGCACACTAAATGTTCAGTAGAGTGCTAAAGGCAGTGTTATAGTCTAGACCCCTTATTAAACGATCACACAACCCCACAAGACCAGCACAAAATTTCCGGTCTGAATTTGAGTCACAAGCTATTAAAATTGTTTTTGTCCAGCCTGTTAACTTGAGTCTGGTCTTGTAACTGGTCTCATGTCTGGTCTCGACTACAACACTGGTTACTCTAACTTAGGTATACTACCTAACTTAGGTATACGCTAACCTAGGAAGAGAAGTTCAGAGGGTGAAAAGAGGGGAGATGAAATTCATGCCCAGTCATGTCTGTCTTAGAAGCAGAGCTTGTAGACTCTGGCTCAAATGACAAGCAAATCACTCACTTCTGCTCCAACAATTCTTTAATTTCGCTTCTTCCAGTCAGTAAGATCATAGATGTTTGGCCTGTTCACTAACTAACTCCAGGTGTGCCTTGGACATGTTGGAGCAACTTTCTCCTGGCACGCCTTTCTTTCTTCTATGTGCAGGCATGCAGCAACATTACACAAAGTCCTTTCTACTCAAGAAGCCAAATTCCTGGAATCCACTAGCAGAAGCCAGCAAACAAGGTCCATTAAACTGAGTTGCCAAATCCTTACAGCCTTGTGAATGATCTAGTCTTGGCCACTCTGAGCCATCTTATGATACCTGAGGTCTGTAACCATGGTAACCCTGTGCCTCATGCCTGCTCACATCACCAGGCAGCTGCTTTCATCTTTGCCCTTGGGTCTGCTCGTGCCCTTGGGTGATGTCTTCTCCAGCTGGTTCCTGCTCTCTAGGAGCTTCTGGTCTGTCTTCGACTCCTTCAGGCCGTACTTCTCTCGCATTTTGTTGCGTTCCATGGCTCTGTCTGCCTTCCTCCTTAGCTGAGCTTCATCACGCTTGGCTCTAGGTGAAAAAAGAAGACATTGAAAGAATGCAACACGACAGGCCAAAAAAACCCGACCTATTCTATTTTGGTGGTGCAACCCTAATTTTTTTCTGAGGGGGAGGGTGAACATCTAAAATTAGAAATAAAAAAGAGTTTATTAAGTCTTACTTAATCAGACTGCTGGCTTCTCTTTAGGTACTGACATGACTGAAGAATTGATAAAAATGCAGAAACTATTCCTGACTACTCATTGAAATACATTGTCGTTAATCCTAACTACCCTCAGTCATCCAAAATACTTCGGCCGACTTTTGGAGGATTTTAAAGGATGGAAGATGCGGCTGATAGTTTATGCTTAGCCATGCATACATTTGTGCCTAGCTTGTACATGTATGTGAAATCACCCATACTGCTTCGGGATACCATTTGCACTGCCTCAACATAACGACAAGACTTGCCACAAGATTTGGAAAGATACATGTACATGCAGTGGTCACCCGTCCAAGGAGCATATTCCAGAAACAATGAAGGATTTTGGAGAACTGAGGATGAATGCATTTTGGGGCAGGGCAGTCAAAGGATTTTGAAGGATTGACGACGTGCCCCAGCGAAAAGGGCCTAGCGATTAGGCTCAATGAATCAGTTCCAAAAACATCAAATCTACATGCATTCCCTTCCAATAAATTAAGCCCAACAATAATAGTGAAAGTTGGCCTGTACTGGATGACATTTCAATTTCTTGAAAAAACTCCTCGATGTCTGTTTTTTAGAAGGGGGTTACAGTGGAATGTCGCTATACCGAACACCGCTGTACCGAACACCGCTGTACCAAACACTCAGCTGTACCGAACGCCGCTATACCGAACACCGCTGTACCAAACACTCAGCTGTACCGAACGTCGCTATACCGAACACCGCTGTACCGAACACCGCTGTACCGAACATCATCCTTGGCTCCCAATATTTTGTGCACAAAACCTACCGAACACTATGCAGTTGCTGTTTGTAATTCCCGAACGTCAACGTGATAAAACAGTCAGGTTTTTATGCGGGAAAGTGACAAGTGGCCATTATTTCCCAAAGGATTAGAAGGGAAAGCCACTAGTTGTTGAAGAGTTAATTGTAATTAACTAGCTGAGAAACTGGGTACATTGGTCCGCACTTGTTCAAAGTTGTCTTCTAGTAACGGCTAGGGCACCCACAGTTAATCTGCTAACAGTATAAAACGGACACTGGTTTTGCGACTCCGCATGATAGGGTGTGGAAGAAAACCGCATGAAACACCGTGGCATTGCACTAACATTAGTCTAAAGAGGGCGCCGCTGATACACAAGCCACCGAGATTCGCCATGGAATGCATCAGAGATCAATCCTGAGTGGTAGCTTCACGACTTTCAGGATAAACTTGAAATCAAGTTCGTAACTTAAGATTTAATAAAAAACAAAAGAATTAACAGATACATTTTTAGAAACCTTAAACATAAATGCAATAGCAAAACATCACAAAAATAGCGAACCATAGTATCACAAGAGGGTGCACTTCAGTTAGACAAAAGAGGGCACTATTCAACATGGCAACGAAACGTTCGGCAGTAAATTTCCCAACGCCAAACATTTAGTGTGGACCCCGTCATGTTCGTTACAGCGGTGTTCCACCTTGAATAGATATTGGCGACTGAAATTCTGCAGTGACTCAAAATGTATGCCACCAAAGGCCACCGTAACACATTAAAAAATTCTCAACAGTGAACAGACGAGGGATTTCTCTGGGAAATTTACAACTACGCTACAAAGCATTTGAACCATTTCATGGGGGAGGGAAGCAATGGCTTGAGGTTCCTTACTTCTCCTGTGCAGCTCTCTCCTCTTCCTCCTGCTCTTGTTTGTAGTCATACGGCTCCTCCTCTTTGTCCTCTCCGGACAGACCGATGGTCTTGGAGAGGCTGGACACTTGGTTCTTGACCATTGTCTTGCCCACTATATCCATGGTGACGACTGCGTGGTAGAGGCCACTCTAACAGTAACGGCAGACTGTTTGAAAAAGAAAGACAAAAATAAATGTCCAAACTGCAGAGAAGGTCCACTGCAGACATGTTCCTTCTGCCATGGTTGTTGAATTGAATTGACTCATGGAGCAGTTTTGAGCTCTCAAATGTTGGTAACGCACATTTAATTCCAATTTGGGGAACTATTTGGGGAATTGGGTATTTGCTGCTGCTTTCTCTGAATAGGTTTAATTTCATGTATCAGAAGTCTGTTGTTTCTTGACTTTTTTTTTAACTTCACAAGCCCAATGACCGATAGCAGGTCAAGATAATAGGAATAATGGCTCAAAGTGGACAAAAGAAGCACTTGAATGTCATCAGCTTTTAATCTGCCAAGAATCAAAGGTAATGCCACCTCTCAGGTACCAAGGCACATGTACTTAACTAGAACTTCTTATGAATTTGAATTTCTCTCCTGTAATATGTGAAGAGACATCCAAGTTATACAAATGAAGTCCACCCTGTTCTGGAATGCTTTATTCTGTCATCAGGGTAATTAAATTCCCGTCTTCCAAGGGAGAGCCTACCCAGATGACAACGGCAAAGGACAAAAAAAAGGTCTTATTTTCTTTCCCCTTCATAAAGATTATGCAATCAAATCCCTGAAAGTAAATCAACATAGACCATCAACAAGGGAGACAGGTGTATAAAGGCTTGATAGTTCTTTACAGGAGAAAGGAATGCCTAAAGAATGTGGGTCCAGTACAGTCAGACTAGACCTGGATGCCTAGACAAGCAGTGCATTTGTGAGTGTGATGGATGGTGCATTTCAAATTCCTCGGAAGTGCAGTTTTGCTCTTTGCATCCAACCCCATTATCCTATCCTCTACAATTCTACCCCCAGTATCCCAAATCTACATGTACCATGCCTACTTTGACTCCATGCCTAATCCCATCTATCTCCAATCTCATATCCACCTCATCTTTCCATCCATCTCCTACTCTGCCCCTTCCCCATCATCCTATCCATCTCCTACTCCGCCCCTCCCCATCATCC